AGCTGCACAATCTGTTTATTCAACAGTGTAGCAGTAGCTAACCCATCTAGGAACCATGTGCTGTTTGCCCTGTGACACACGTACAGTATTTTTGGCAGCCCAGTGGTTCCTCGTGTATGAAGTTTCTTTTTTTAACCAAGTTAAAATGCCTGGATGGTAAAAAAAAACATACATGACGTATGGGTTATATGCATGAACTTACAGTTTTGCACATGACAACTGAAAGACTCAAACACAAGTTTGTGTTTGCTGTAATGACTGGAAAAAATATTGGCTCGAACAGATGATGCTGTGAAATAGACTGATTCTGGTTTGAAAAACAAATTCTGATAGAATTGTTTGGATCATGTGGTACTAAATAAGATCGGGGAAACTGAAATGCAGTTCTATGTTAGTGCATGAAGTCATTCCAGTCTGCATTTTTTGTTGTTTGTAAAAATGCCACCACCCCCTCCCCCCCGCACCACAAATTGTGAAGAAGGCCACTTAAGATCTCCCTCCTACCCTCCCCAGGTCCACCTTGCAGCACCACCCCCAACAGAAAAATGGTGACGGTTTCCAGCTTTTTTCACTTTTGGACACTTTCATCCCATGTCAGTCTGTTGCAGCTTCCCGAATATGCAGACATCACATGATAGGTGCGTGGCGGTTTGTTCTGTCATTATAATAGTGTTAAGTAGTGCACTTGTACCTGGACATTCATTGGAAGCTCAGCTTAGCAGGACATATACCTAGTCAACTCCTCAACATCACATCTGTTTGTAATGTGCTATATACCTTTCTTGTATATGGCTTTGGACAAAAGGTTCTGCTAAATAAAAGTAAATGTAGCGCTGTATTGTCGTACCTTTGAAATGTGTATCATGGGTACAACTGTAACCAGTTACAATAAAATATCGCCATACCACCCACCTCTAAGGCCACGTTTATCATTACACTGGTCACTGGTGCCTGGGCCATTTCCTGCCTTTGTGCATCCAATGGACTGAGCATGTACCAGTTTACAGTTATGCCATTTGGACTGCATGAGGCTCCAGCAGTGTTTCAGCGTCTAATGGACATCCTGCTGCATTGGTGTGAGATGTTTGCTGCTGCCTCTCTCAATGATGTTATTTACAGCACCAGCTGAGAAGACCACCAGACCACTGTATAAGGTCTTGGGCATCATTGAGATGGCGGGATGCATCCTGAAGGCTTCCAGGTGTGAGTGGGCTAAGGAGGAAGACCCAGTCTTGGGGCATAAACTGGGTAAAGGTAGAATCTCACCACAGCTGGACATGGTAAAAACCATCACAAACAGGCTGAGACCAACGATAAAAAAGCAAATTTCATCATTTCTTGGACTGTTGGGTTGGTATTGAAGGTTTATACCAGATTTTCCCACCCTGGCCACTCCACTCACCAACCTCACTACAAAACTGCCCGAAATCCTGTACAAGAGGCAGACAGATGTAAAATGCCCTTCACAGCCCCTAGGACCTGCCTGTGCACATACTCAGTCCCGATCAGAACAGATTTTGAGAAAACATTCCTGGTCCAAGTAGATGCATCCAGTGTTGGGATTGGAGCTGTGTTAGCATAAGGTGAAAGAGGGG